TGCCGCCCTGATTCTCTCCATGCCAGGCATTGAGTGAGCGGCACCATCACTGGCTACGCCTGAGCGTTGTCCCACGCTGTCGTTCTGTGTCGGTGTGCCTGATGAGATGACGATCGGCTCCTCCGATTGTGCAGGTGCATTTGCTGGTGCATGTGTTGGTGCTGGTGCATTCACTGTCGATTGCTGGCGAGCGGAGTCGCGTTCCGCCGTGAGTGTCACAATTTCGAGCGCCGAATCTTCGAGTTGGCGCACGAGACGGTCGAGCTGCTCCTGCGTCAATGTCGCGAGATTAAGGGTACATTCCGCTGTGGACACTGTCCCAATCGATGTGTCCCAATCGAGTGTACCGCTCCGAACCGAACTAAACCAGAGACGCGAAAATTTCGAAACGAGGGTGCAATTTGGTGTAATACGATGCAGTGCGGTAGAAACGATTGGGACACTTTCGATTAGGACATGTCCAGCGCGGAATGTACCCTAATTTCGGCCATGGCGGGGGTGTCGGGCAAGCTCAGCGAGAGCCTCTGTCGTGGCCGTGGGTGCTTACGAGAGAGCACGTCGAGCGGCGGTGCTTGTTCGCTGAGAGACGTCTACCCCCCAAAAAAATGATATAGTGGGGAAGCAAAGGTGTGGGTGCGGTCCGAGAGGAGATCCTATGCTATGAATACCAAGTGTTACGAGTGCAATCGAGCGAGCGAGAATTGCACTAGCGAAGCAAACAATACAATGAGCGAAGGCATGCTGGAAGAATATATAGCGAACTAGAGTGGTAACGGTAACGGTAACGCGAGGAATTGGGGTGCGCGGCCTAGCGCCGAGGTTGGGATATGTCAAGGAGCGCGGGTTAACAACCGAACCGTGAGGTTGGGTCGCATCGTGAACAGTGGCGGGAGTCGTAGTCGAGGCGAGTGTCGCGAGTGGGTAACGTTTCACTGTTTGGGTGCCGATGTCGGGAATGGTATTGTACGCAGTAAGCAGGGGCGCGAAGTAAGGAAAAGGAAATTTCCTTACATTATTGCAACATGTTTTGACGTATATATTCTTCCAGAATAAAGCTCTGTAGAGGGACTTGACCTGGTATGCACGAAATCGTTGTGGTACTGTTCACAGGTCGTGCTGACTCAATTCACCTGGAGAGTGGGCCACGGGTTGAGGACTTGTCGAATCGGAGTGCTGTTGTTTACAGTCCTACATCACTACAGTAACCTTGTTCCACACATTTGCCTAACCAGCCAAACGAGGCAGACGACCTTTCTCTTCTCTCGGTCACTGTCTTTCTTGCGAGATGCCCGCCTGGCTTCCTCACGCACATCGCCTACGGTATGAAGCTCGAATGAGATCCTAACCTTACTGTAATATGCGTTTTTACGACGTGTTTGAAAATCAACCTAACCAAAAGAAGCTTCGTGGGTGTGTAATTGCTAAAAACAATGGGCACACACTGGTTCATGTACCATTCTGTGCATTGGAGTCTGAAATCATAATCCAATCTAATTTGTAAATCTAGGGATTCTGCATTCATTAGGGGCTGTTCTCACCTCAAGCCATAATCTTTCTGGCATCATGATACTACAGTAACAATGTATTTGCATGTTTCTTGCTTAGGAAACACTGTAGATAATTCCTCCAAGAAACACCATTGACAGTTTTGTGGGGGGGCCTATTAAGTGTCCACTTTTGTGGCATCCATGCTGTTTACGCATCCTGTTCTCTCTGCTCCACAACCATAACCCTGTATTGTATGAGCGTTATGCTTGAGAGGGACCATCAATCAGCTGCGTGTTTTGAAAGTTTTAAATTTTCAGAGATTGCGAACACTTCACAAGTATGTCTAGCGGAGAGTTCATGGTTGTTCCGCTTGTTTATACGCCTAACCTCACCACATAACTTCTCTATTCATATTATATTTTGTTAAACACGGTTGACTATTAATATGCACAGCACATACAGCATGGAAACATCGAGCATAACTATCCCCTAAACAGCCCGTATTGACAAGGAAATCGTGCCCACAATCTAGACTGTTTCTTTCGAATGGTTTTGGGCTATTGTGGATGATCACGTGCCAGATCATCTCTTACTCATTCCATTTCCGGTGCGTCCAATGAGACCGCGCTAGAAAATGTCCTGGACGCTAGTGGCAGCCAACGGTAAATGACAGGTTGGCATTCAGTCAACGACAGGCCTCCCCACTTTTATTTCGAGCCTAGTCGCCAGGTGACGCCAAATTTCCGAGTCTTCAATTGGCTTGTAGGTGCATCTGGATTTTTGCACAGTCCTTGTGGTTTCGAAGGCACAAACGTTTTTACTGTACGAGGGTATGAAAAAGAAAATGAATTTCAAAGGCTGTGGATATCATACACTGTACCCCGAATTACAGTAGGCATCTGCCTGGCCTTAAGAATGTTTTTTAGGCACATTTCGGCTGAAACTCGCTTGGGTTGACAAAATTGTAATTGGACAGGGAATGGAAAGGGACAATCGTGCGCTAACGCCTTCCCACTGTGAAAACCGGTTGAGCAAGTGAAAGCCATAGCTGCGGATCTTATGCGGCGAAAAATCCTGACCAGATTACACAAGGTACACCTAGTCCGCGGTATTTTAACCACGTGAACTGTTTTGTTTCAAACACCCTTTATTCGTTTTCGGGTAATGAGATGGGCACCCAAAGACTTCAAGGCTATTATTTTACAGCCGGATGCTTTTCCGTCTGAAGAAACGCACACTTAGTGCTCCGAGATAGGGGGAATATCGGCATTGGCAGTGTTTTAACTGCCGTCATCTCGCGAAGGGAATGTTAGATTATACCCTCATTTTATTTTCAAACTACTCGTTTAAACAAGTCTGACCAAGGAGAAGTACTCTCGCGCGGTTAAGATAGCGGCGGTTAAAATACCGCGGACTAGGTGTACAAATATTGTCCATCTTCGTCACGCCACACATGGAGATTAAATTGAGCATGCGTTCGTCAGCTTCGCCACAGGCAGACATGAACTGTAAACTACCAACCATGTTAGTGCAGCAACGTTGGGTGGCTAGGTTTCTTGTACTCCCCGGAAATTAAGGGTGCCTGCACAAGGTTGGCTGCTCTCAACCGCCGAATATATCTCAGCGGACAAGCGAGTCCGCCCGGGGGAGCTCGCTGCCCGCGGGCAAAAAAAAAATAAACCCCATTCGGGCACGCATCCGGTCAGGGAGGCATCAACCCTAAACACGGGGAGGCATGGATTTAGGGTTGATGCCTCCCTCGGATGGCATGCCATCCGATGGGGTTTTAGTTTTTTTCTGCCCGGGGCAGCATGTCGTCAAGTCGTCAACAGGTCGTCAGGCTTGACGACCCGTTTCCGCTGGGATATTCCACTTGACAAAATTCTGAATCATTTCGACACGCGAGGGCTCTTAATCGACTTTCGGTTTCCGTGCTCAAATGTTAAAGAGTCGGCGTAATATTTATAATATAACAATGATGAGATAAGGTCGGACATCCATTGTAGTGGAAATCCACCTCCTCAATCGTCAACTCCTCTCCTCCTCCCCTTCCCTTCCCTCATGGTTTCCGACTTCCCTGGTTGACTCGCTTGGCCGTGCACTACCGCACGCCACGCCAGCGCCGCAATGCCAGGGTCAGTGTGACTCACAGGACAAGTCCCAAAGAAAGTGGTGTCTCCACCACTAGTGTTCGGATTCGGGCGCGCGAGAATCCTGGAGGGGAGGGTAAGATGTGCGCAAGCGGACAGCCGAGCCCACTCTCCGCGCGATCCAGTCCAGTGATCCCCCCGCATGATCTAAGGCATGCCATTTCCAAGCGTCCACGTGAGGAGACACCACGGACTCTCAAGCTAGTGAGCTGACTCGCGCCATCAAGTTCCTAATTATTTCTTCCGCCCCACCCCATAATTTCTGCTCGTGCTGGAGGAGGCGTAAGTGGTTTTGCTTGGCGTATCCCAGCATCCTGCGTAGTTTCGGCTCTATCCAACAGATTAGCTACCTCGTACAGTCCTTTCCACGAACACACTTCAAGCTTCATTGTTGTCAGTCATCCTCACAAACTCAGTTTTTTCGTATCATCACAAACACCTCCCTTGCTTTCACTGCTCAACCACGAAAGCTCTTCATTTCTGTACAAACCGCGGATCGCGGGACATCCATTTTCCCTTTTGGACGAGATTTTCTTGAGCTGTCACGAGTTGAAAGCTAACTAACTCCAACCGATTGTACTGACGAGTCGGCGAACTTCTCGTGTAACGAAACCCGTGCGAGAAATGTCTTGGCAATCTGGATCAGAAGTCGAACCGCCGCAACCGCCGCCCGTGTTGGCGCAACAGCAGCAGCAACAACAGCACCAGCGCCATCGCAGCAGCCAATCGGAAGAATTCGAGTCAGCAGTCGCTGCCGTGATTTCGCGAATCAAGATCGACAAGCCCCCTTCGTCGAATTTCGAGTCGGCGCCGAAGCCGCCTCTTCCGGCGGCAGCGCGCGATCCGGTGGAATTTTCGATGGGAGAAACTCCGACGGCGCCGCGTTTCGCGCCGGGATATCAGGCCCAGCTTCATAACGACGGAAGCACGTGGGACAACCCGAGTGCACATTCCCCGGCGGATATGATTGTGTCTCCGTCGGCGACGGCCTATATCCGCCAAAACCGCTTCGGCGCGCCGCTGGTGCGTCCTTCTAGCGCGGGGAGTTCCCGCGGGGGCAGTTCCGCCGCCGGCGGGAGTTTCCGCGTGCAGCGCGGCGACGCGTCGCCGCCGGCGTTTAATATCCCTTTAACTACCACTCACACGCAGAAGCAGCGTTGGCCGGATAGCCACGGCGCGCAAACCTTAAGCGCGTGGCTCCAACGAACCAGCAGCTCAGGCTCGGGATCTGGCTCGGAAGGCAAAACAGCGCAAGACCGCGCGGCGCTGCAGCGATGCGCTTCGGCGCCGCACGAACGCAATGGCGCCGCCGCCGTAAATTCCGACGGCGCGCCGCGCGGCGGCGGCGGCGAAGCGCGCGAAATGGCGGCGGCGCTCCAGGCCAGCGGCGGCGGGATACAGCAGGAAACCGAGGAGGAGCGCTCGATAAAGCGCCGGCTTCTAAACCGCGAATACGCGAAGCGGTCGCGGCAGCGGCAGCACGAGCGCTTCGTGGAGCTCGAGGCGCAGGTGAATTCCATGGCGGCGGAGAAACGCGCCGCGGACCAGCGGCTCCAGGAGATGGAACAGGCGCTGATGATCCTCCAGGGGGAGAACGCGCGTCTGCGGCAGATTGCCTCGGGGCGCTACAGCCGCGACATGGCGGAGATACTGCGCGCGATACAACAGGCGGGGGGATTTCCCGCGGAGGCGGCGGCGGGGCTTTTCAACGCGGGTGGAGGGGTTCCCGCGGGAGGGCCTGCGGCGCAAGTAGTAGCGCCTCCGCAAACAGGTTTCGCGCCCGACGCTCGCGACGCTCGCGGTTTCCTAGAGGAGGGCGCGTCCGCGTCCGCTTCCGCTTCCGCCGCCGCCGCAGCAGCAGCAGCCGCGCGAGCAGATTTGCGCTTTAACGCCGCGGGCGCGTTTCCTGGCGCTAGCAGCTATCAAGAAATCGGACTCGAGGGGATAGACAATGGGACCGCGATTGGGGGCAACTGGCCGCGCAGTGCTTCCGCCCCTTCCGCGGAGATTGGGGCAGAACTTGCCCCTGCGCGGGAGCACGCGAGCGGAGCCCATGCTCAGCCCGCGCCAGATCGGCAGAGGGGGACATTTCCCCCTCCCCCGCCTGCACAAGCTTTCCCATCGGTTCAGGGTTTTTTTGGGCAGCCTGGACAAGTAAGGCTGGGTGGCGGAGATTCCATGTTGGGAGATTTTTCTGCGACGGAAGACAAGAATGAGATGATGATTTTCGCCGCAGCTGCTGCCTCTGCTACTGCTGCTTCCTCTGCCCCAGCTCCCGCTGCTCCTGCTGGTAACCCCGGCGGCCACGCCAGCTCAGGTGCCTTCTCAGGTGTTTTCTCCGCTGCTGCTGCCGCCACAACTGCAGTAAACCCAATCCCTGGTGCGGACTATAACCCACGACACAGTGGCTTCGGTAACATATTCTCCACAGGATTTCCTGGAAACACCCGTGCCACTGGTCCCTCTTTGAACCACCATAGTAATCCTGCAATTCCCGGGTCTACTAATGCGGCGTTCAACTCAGCGTTTTTAGGGTTTGGTACTCCTGACCTGGACGTTCCTCTGGGAGGGGATGAGGACACCGCAGCTTTGCTGGCTGTTGCAGGGCTTGTGGGGGGAAATGGAGGGAGTGTGGAGAGAAGTAGGCCGGGTGGGGCGAAGGAGGGAGCCGAACTAGGGTATGGGATGGAGGAGGGGGGAGGTGAAGGAGGGGAAAGGGTGGAAGGGTCGAGCTGCGGAGGGGTGGGGCAGGGGAGTGGGGGGGAGTGGAATGAGCACGAGGGGACCCTGTTTGCGATGATACATCACCTGCACAGGCAGCTGTGAGGCGGCATTTCAGTGACCTTCGGGCCGCCTAAAAAATCCAACTGCATGAGGAGCACGGGGGGGGGACCCTGTTTGCCATGATTCACCATCTACACAACACAGGCAGCTGTGCGGGAGTGTTTCAGTCAAGGATACAAGCTCAAGATTCAAGAATCAATGGATGGTAGTCCATGAGTCTTGCTCAACCAATCAGCATCTGCAGCGTAGGTGCAGATAAGGCATTTCCAAAGCCAGAGCATTGAGTTGCTGCTTGCTTCGGCTCTCCCTCATTGAGCATTTAATCCAGGGTCTTTCGCATGCACAGGCAGTGAGGAGGCATGTACGCTGCTGCTGACGCCTTTAAAGAGCCAAGAGTGGTCTGCTTGCTTCGGCTCTCTCTCCTTTCATCAATCTGCCTGCCAGCCAGCGCCCTGTACGGTGCTCTATTCATTGGAGGGCACCTGCTTGGCAGAGGCATCATTTGATTTGTTCATTCATTGTTTGATTGTTTATTGTTTTCTAGGACTTCCCTTATTTGTTTATTCATGTGAACCCTCTTCCCAGCAATGGTCATTTTTAGTGGAAAAAAAATGTCTGGAGGTGCATAACCAAGTTTTTGGATCTCATCCACACCCAGAATACTAGCAGGCACTGTACTCGTCTCAGTCACTCACACACACCTACAATACACAATGACACTGATCATTGTCCAATCAGACACTGCAGCATCCAAAACCCTCTCATCTGCCCTGCTCCATTTCGTAAGGCAACAAGCAGGAACAAAAGTGCCAAGATTTAACTACCAGAAGAGGGCTTTGTGCAGCATACTAGGTAGGTGGAGGAAGAGGTTGGGGATAGCAGAGCTAGGCTCTTTAGGGTCGATCAGGCTAGGAGGCAGGAGGGAAGAGGCCACACAGAGCGAGCTTAATAAGCGAAGGGGAATCCGATGCGGTCAACAAATTCACACGCGTTGTAGTTGGTTGCAGTCATACTGCACATCGCCTGCCATGGCCAGGAGAATCTTGCGGCACACCGAGAGGGGAGGTGGAGGAAATGGAGTAAGAGGAGGAAGGCGAACGAGCGAGATTCATAACCTAAGCGAAGGGGAATCCGATGCGGACGACAAACTCGCAGGCGTTGTAGTTGCGGTCGTACTGCACATCGCCTGCCATGGCGAGGAGAATCTTGCGGCACACCGAGAGGCCCAGCCCCTCCTGTGTGCGCGTGGTGGGGTCTGCCTCGTCGTACAGCTGCTGCACCAGCTCCTGGGGGAGCGCTCCTGAGTGTTGCACTCTGAAAGAGTGGCAAGGGAGGAAAGGAGAGGGTGGGAAGGAGGGAGTGAAGGAGAAAGGGAGGGAGGGAAGGGTTGAGGGAGTGAGTGTGAGTGGAAGCAAGGGTAACAAGGCAAGGGCGAGCAGAATCTTGTGGCACACTGAGAGGCCCGGCCCCTCCTGCGTGCGCGTGGTGGGGTCCGCCTCGTCGTACAGCTGCTGCACCAGCTCCTGTGGGAGTGCTCCCCAGTGTTGCACTCTGAAAGAGGGGGTGAGCTAAGGGGCCAGATACAACGCATTAGGCGCACACAGATAGAGGTGCGGTGGGGTCTGCCTTGTCGTACAGCTGCTGCACCAGCTCCTGGGGGAGCGCTCCCGAGTGTTGCACTCTGAAAGGTGGTGTGGTAAGGAGGCATGGAAGGAACAATACAAAGATCCATGAGCGCCCCTGCGTCTCTCCCTTGCGTGTCTCGCTGGAACTCGCATTTGAGGGAGCCCTGGTCGCCGAACAGGCTCCTGGTGCTGGTAACCAGGCACACCTTCACCCACCCGCCTGCCCGCCTCCCTGCCCCCTTTACCCCAATCTGCCCCATCCCTGCTCCTTTTTCCACTTACCGGAATTCGCATTTGAGGGAGCCCTGGTCGCCGAACAGACTGCGCGTGCTGGTAACCAGGCGCACCTTCACCCACCCGCCTTGCGGCGTAAAGGCAACTGCACTGGTGAGGTACTCTGCCAGGGCCTGCTGCAGGCGAGCAGGGTCTCCTGCGAGGCCCGGGAACGAGCGTAGCTGCGGCGGCGGGTCGAAGGAGAGGGAAACTTCGCGCCGGGCGGCCGCCTGCTTGCCCTGCGCTACCACCGCGTCGATGACTGATGCTATGGTGAATACCGCCGGGATGATGTTCACGTAGCTGAGGGAGAGGAGGGGAGGGAGGGAGAGGGGAGAGCGAGAGGGAGAGGGGAGAGGGAAGGCACAGCAGTGGTGAGCTACTCTGGCAACAGTCTGCTGTAGGCGAGCAGGGTCTCCTGCGAGGCCCAGGAACGAGCGCAGCTGCGGCGGCGGGTCGAAGGCGAGGGAGACGCCGCGCCGGGCGGCCGCCTGCTTGCCCTGCGCGACCACCACGTCGATGACTGATGCTATGGTGAAGACGGTCGGGATGATGTTGACGTAGCTGGGGGGAGGGGGTGGGGGAGGGAGGGGAAGTGGGGAAAGGGGAAGGTGTGTGAGATAACAAGATAGGCGGCTTGCTTGCCCTGCGCGACCACCGCGTCGATGACTGATGCGATGGTGAACACGGCCGGGATGATGTTGACGTAGCTGAGAAGGGGAGGGAGAGGGGGAGGAGTTGGGACGGGGGAAGGGGGGGAGGGGAGGGGAGGGGAGGGGAGGGATAGGGGGCGTGTGAGATCAACCCCTTCTGGTACCCTTCTGCCTCCCCCCTTGCTTCAACTCACCCCTCTTCAATGGTGTCAATATCATCATCCCCCAGAATCCTGTCCACCTGCTGCTTGCCACGCCCACCACACTCATCTCCTGCCCTAGACACCTGTGTATCAGGTATAACGTGTTTGGCCCGCCGCAGCGCAACTCACCCTTCCTGCATTCAATCAACTCACCCCTCTTCAATGGTGTCAATATCGTCATCCCCCAGAATCCTGTCCACCTGCTCCTTGCACCGCTCCGCAACCCCCACCGCATTCTTCTCCTCCTCCCCTACAAGCCTCCCCTCCTGCTCCTCCTTCCGCAGCCCCTCCAGCGCGTGCTCAATCCCATCGAGCGGCCCGCGAATGGCGTCTCTGGTGTAGGCCACTGCTTTGGCCTTCTCCTTGGCGAAGTCCTGCGTGGCGCGCTGCAGGTTGAGGGCTGCCTGGAGCTCGGCGGAGACGGTGTGCAGGAAGCAGAACACGCCCGTCACGTGCCCGTCGGAATCGCGGCGGGTCTGGACCGTGAGAAGCGCCTCCACCAGTTGGCCCTGTGGGGGTGGGAGGGGACGGGACGGGGGAGGGGAAGTGTAAGGGGAAAGGCAGACGCAGGCTGAGAGTATGGAGGGAGGCAGGCTTTGGCCAGCACCCAAGACTCACGTGTGCAATCGTACACTCACATGGGCATCCACGAACTCCAGGGGATAGCGGTCAGTCATTTGCTCGGACAGCGCCTTGTTGATCACAATCATGACATTGGTCATCATGTCCGCCTTCATGCCTTCATGCATACATGGGTGCATGCACGCTCCATGATCTAATGAGTAAAATGACACCAGACTCGCTCGTCCAACCAAACACTCACATGGGCATCCAGGAATTCAAGTGGGTAGCGGTCCGTCATCTGGCCGGACATGGCCTTGTTGATCACAATCATCAGTTTCGTCATCGTGTCCGCCTTCATGCGGCAGATGGGGCCGAAAATGCCGCCCAGCAGCAGCCGATCAATCGCCTGCTGACGTGGCACCCCGGTGATCCTCTCCATTGCCGGATTCCAGTCGGTGCAGTTGCCGAAATCTGAAGAAAGACAAGGGAGGGGAGAAGATGGGGAACAGGGAGAGACAAGGCATAGGGTGGGAGTGGATGGGGTGGTAAGGATGAGAGGGTAGACGGGGTGGAAAGGGTTGAAAAGGGGTGGGTGAGAGGGGGGTAGACAGGGTGGAATAAGTTTAAGTGGGAGGAGCACAGGTGGCAAAGCTCGAATGTGGCAAAGCACGAAAGTGGCAAGGCACACAGGAACTTGGGTTACCAAAGCCCATCCCGAGGAGAGGACACACCCACATCCGCACACTCCCAGTCCCGAGCACCCAAGCATCTGAGTACGCAAGCACCCAACACTCACCGTCAGTGGAGAAGATCGGAGGGATGAGGGAGTTGTTGCCGTGAACAATGGCCTCATAATCCCCCTGCAGGCGCGTGAACTTGCCCTGCACCGCCTTCTGAGCCGTCACGTCCTGCCCCACGAAGCACACCCCCACCACGTCCTCCATGTCATCCCCCCCCATGGCCGTGCCGCGGCTCGCAAAGGCGTTGACGACGAGGATGACCGAATCCTTGTTGGACTGCACCACGCCCCAGGTCCGCAGGTGGATCTCCAGCTCCTTGCTCTCCTGGCCTGTTGAGGGTGGGAGGAGAAGGGCACGGGGAAGCGAGAAGGGGGAGAGAGGGAGACAGACGAGGTGCTGAGAGCCAGTGACACAGCCCTTGGGGGGAAGGACCAATTTGGAGGACAGGGCCACGACCGAGAGCTGAGCAATCCGCACAAGGCAACACACGAAGCACACAGCCCACACAGCATACAGCACAGGTAGCGCACTACTAACGACCCACCTTGCAGGGCGAGGAACAGCGCCCTCCCAACCACCACCAGGTCCGTGATCAGGTGTGCTCGCTTCCTATACCCCAAGGGTATGAGGCACACTCACCACAATTGCAGAGAGAACTTGAGGGCACCCACACACCAACATACCTTGCAGAGCGAGGAACAGCGCCCTGCCAACATCGTCCACGTTGCCTTACACCACCAGGTCCGTGTGAGCAAATATGCCAAGAAGAGAGCATCCATGTACCAACATACCTTGCAGAGCAAGGAAGAGAGCCCTTCCAACAGCATCCACGTTGCCCTCCACCACCAGGTCAGTGATCAGGTGCTTCCCCAGGGCGTCCCCTGTCGCCAGCCCTGTCAGAGCCGCCAGCCTGGCGTTCCACCCAGTGACACACCCGTCCCTGTCCACAGCCAGGATGGGCGCTGTAGCCGTCTCGAGCACTCGCACCATCTCGCTCTCAGTTGCACTCAGGCGATCCATTTCCTGGTGTTTGTATAGGGGAGAATGGGGAGTAAGGACAGTGTGGGGGTGGGGGCATATAGGGTTGGGTTCTGAAGCAGCAGCCGCCAGCCTGGCGTTCCACCCGGTGACACACCCGTCCCTGTCCACGGCCAGGATGGGCGCCGTGGCCGTCTCCAGCACTCGCACCATCTCACTCTCAGTGGCGCTCAGACGATCCATTTCCTGCAGGAGGGTGGGGGGTAATGGGGAAAGGGAATCGGATGGCAGAGGGGTGGGAGAAGGGGAATGGAGGGACAGGGGTGGGGGGACGGGGAAAGGGAGGCAGGAGGGGTCAGTGCCTGGCGTTCCAGCCGGTGACGCACCCGTCACTGTCCACGGCCAGGATGGGTGCTGTTGCCGTCTACAGCACTCGCACCATCTCACTCTCTGTCGCACTCAGGCGATCCATTTCCTGCAGAGGGAGAGCAGTGGGGGGGGGGGGGGGGGGTGGGTTGGGGAGAAGGGGGATGGAAACGGAGGGATGGAAGGGAGATGGGAGAGTGAGGAATGGGGGTCAGCGCCTGCATTCCACCCAGTGACACACCCATCCCTGTCCACGGCCAAGATGGGCGCTGCTGCCTCCAGCACTCGCACCCCTCTCCACCCACCTCCTCCTCACACGCCCCTCCTCCCACCCACCCACCCCCACACACCCACTGCCCGAAACCCAGAATCTATCGCTAGAAGCCCAGAAACCCACTCCCACACAACTCACCTGGTTGCGCATGCGGTTGAGCATCATATCACGCATGTCATTGTCACTGAAGGACGTGAGGTGGCCCCTTTCACCACACACAACCTCTTTCCACCCTCCTTCATCCCTCCCAAACCCTCACCTGGTCGCGCATGCGGTTGAGCATCATATCGCGCATGTCGTTGTCACTGAAGCTGGTGAGGTGGCCTCTGAGAATGAGCTGCAGCGAGTGCACTGCGTCCATCTCCACGTCCTCCCATGGCATCGACCGCTGCCTCACCACCTCCTCCTTCTCACACGCCCCTCCCAACCACCCACCCCCACACACCCATTGCTACAAGCCCAGAAACTCACTGCTAGAAGCCCAGAAAACCCTACCAGAAACCCGGAAACCCACCTGGTCGCGCATGCGGTTGAGCATCATGTCGCGCATGTCGTTGTCACTGAAGGACGTCAGATGCCCCCTGAGAATGAGCTGCAGCGAGTGAACCGCGTCCATCTCCACATCCTCCCACGGCATTGACCGCTGCCTCACCACCTCTAGGAACGCCGCAAAGCTCGCGCGCGGCCCCATGGCCATGCGCTCCGGGTGCTCGTCCTCCTTGTCGCGATTATCATGCTTCTCCCCGCCCCACCGCACCTCCTTGCGCACGTGCGAGCGGAACCACAGGAGAACGTCCCTCGCATACAGGCGAGCACACGCCATCCCGCACACCCCTTCCCCGAGCTCCTCCGCTCGCGGATACCCCGCTTCTGCCAGGCTGTCAGTGCTCAGACCAGACGAATCCGCGTGCGCGGAATCCAGCCAGTCAATAATATCCAGGATCTGCATCTCAGTCGGGGTCGTTCCCAGCAGCCAGAACCGCCCGGCGTAGTACAGCGCCGCACCATCGCACTTAACTAAGTCCTTGATATTCGGGTTCTGCGAGACAATCCCGAGAGGAGCATCGCCACGCATGAGGAGATCACAAAGCAGCGTCTGGGTCCTCAGCATTTCCTTCTCTCTGTGCTGCCGGGCCATCTCAAGCTCCATATTCACCTGGAGCGAAAACACCTGCATAAGGAACTCGCAGGCGAGGCGCAGAGGGAACGGGAGGTAGCGAGCGGTTTCATGATGGCACACCACCAGCCCCCACAGCTTCTTCCCCCGGTTCGCCTGTGCCGGAGCAGCAGCAGCACCGCCAGCACCCTGCTGCTGAGCCGGCTGTGCGGCGTCCTCGTCGTTGATGATCACCGCCATGGTCATGGATGCCGTGGTTCCCATGTTCCGCATGTACTGAATGTGGCAGCGCTGCGCCGCCCGCAGCTGCGACCCCGCCAGCGTCACCGGCTGCTTGAGCCTCCCTTCATCCCTCACCACCTTGACTTCATCGGAGTAAGCATCGCAGATGCACCGCACCCGGTTCTTCATGAACAGGAAACGGATGGCCTGGGGAATGTCGGTCGCGGGGTAGTGGAGACCGAGGTAAGGCTCCATGGATTCTTTCTTGGCTTCGGCCAGCACCTCACCGTGCTCATCCTCGTGAAATTTATAAGTCATGACTCGGTCGTACCCGGTCAGCTCCTTCACCTCTTCAACCACAGCCTGGCACAGATTGGTCATGTCACCGGGCGGCATGCGCTGGAGCCTAGCGATGGCCTTGGCGGCGAGCTTGTGCGCTTGGAGGGCGCCGGCGCCGGTGAAGATGTTTTCGGCGTCGCGGATGGGCTCGAGGTCGATGACGATGCCCACGTCGATGCGGTGCAGGATGGCGTAGAACGGCCGGTGGTCGCCCCTGTTGGAGACTGCTGCCTCGACTAAGACAGGGTTGATCATGCTCAGGTCTGCTGCTCCCGTGGCCTTCTCGAGGGCCGTCACGCTGTCGGGAGTAAAAAGGGAGCGCGCGTCCACCCCGAAATCTGCAGGAGGGGAGGAGGAGGGGAGGGGAGGAAAGAGGCGGAAAGGAGAGGAGAGGAGATGAGAGGGGGGAGTGAGTGAGCGGATGGGCTTCAACAGCAGCACGAGCGGATGGGCTCGAGGTCGATGACGATGCCCACATCAATGCGGTGCAGGATGGCGTAGAACAGCCGGTGGTCGCCTCGGTTGGAGACTGCTTCTTCCACTAACACTGGAATGATCATGCTCAGATCAGCTGCACCGGTGGCTTTTTCCAGAGCCGTCACGCTGTCAGGCGTGAAGAGGGAGAGCGCGTCCACCCCGAAATCTGAGGAGGGAGGGGGGGGAGGGGAAAGGGGGAGGCGGGAGGGGAGAGGGGGGCAAAGGGGTGGATGGGGGAGCGAGGAAGGAAGGTGAGGATGAACCTCTCAGTGCAAGGTCAGGAGTTATATGTGTGGGGGGGGGTTCAACCTGTCGATGCTGTCTCGAGAGATGGCGACTAGTACAAGGAAAGTTATTCAGGAGGAAAACGGCCGCGAGAGGAGTGGTCGGGGGAGTTTGGGGTGGAGGGGAGGGTATGGGAACTATGGTGTGATAAGAGGAGACAGGCATGTGCGCACGTCATTTGAGGCGCCAGGGAAGAAAGCCATGTGCGCGCGTATGCATGGGCACATATGCCGTACAACAACCATGCGTGATGTATGCTGAGACGACTCTAAGCGCGCATGTGTTTGCATGGTTACGATATGCTCAAGCATGATGATATTTGACGGCATGCGTGCAGGTTGATGGCATGCATGGATGTTAAGGTTCTTCTTCAAGCGCGTACAACATGGTGTGATGACGTCATGCATGCGTGTATGCATGGACATGGATGCTCCCCCCAATGCTCCCCCCAATGCTCCCCCCAATGCTCCCCCCAATGCTCCCCCCAATGCTCCCCCCAATGCCCCCCCCAATGCTCCCCCCCATGCTCTTTCCGCCCTTTCGAAAATCACGACATTGGCTTTTGGCTTACCGAGCACGGGGAGCGGCGGAAGCGGAGGCGGAGCGGGCGGAGCGGATTCCGCATCCCCCGCCTTGCTCAGGTTCGAGTGCGCGCCCTCCCAGTCCTCCGCGCGGCGGCTTGCGCGGAACCCGCTGCGCCAGGAGCGCGAGGGGGACTGCGAGCGCGCAGGGGAGCCCACGCGCCCGCCCGAGGTCGCGGAAGGCGCGGCGCTGCGCCCGCGCTCCTTCGAGTGCTTGGAGCTCGCCGCGTTGTGCCCGCGAATCGCGGAGGAGATCTTGTCCTTCAGAGACGAGAAGGCGCGGCCTGGGCGGGTGAGAGGGACGGGGGTAAGAAGAGCGAGAAAGAGATAGATAGGGAGAAATGGGGAGAGGGAGACGGGGAGAGAGGACGAAACGAGGGAGGGAGAGAGGGAGAGGGAGGGAGAGAGGGGGTAGACGAGGCGAAACGGTGAGGGAGGGAAAAGGTGAATGAGGTAAAACAAACAAGGAAAGGGGGAGGACAAGGGACGCGGGAAACGAGGAACGAGACGCGAAAGACGAGAGACGAAGGGGTTGGGAGGGGGGGAGAAGGTAGACAAGCAGAGAGGCGAAGGACACGAGAAGGGAAAGGGCGAGAGGGAGAGGGGGAGAGAGCACTACGCTCCATGCATCGCAAAGCGTCCGGCTTGCCAATGCCGGAATGGCAGAACAATTCGCTCCTCATACAAGTTACACTCACCCATGCCCCGCCATTCTCCTAGTCATAAGTACTCTTGTCCTTCACGTTACGCACACCAATCATCGCCGTGCCTAACCGCTCCTCACACACGTTTCACCACTCACCAGTGCTTCGGCTGGCTCTTAGTGAACGTTTCTCCTACAATATTATCTCATCAATGCCCTGCTGACGTACCTAACCGGTTACTCGGACACAGACTTTTGAGACGTCTCATAGGATTTTCCAGACGTCTCAAATGATTTTTCAGCCTAAGCGGTTCCTCCCACACGTCAGACTCCTCCCACAAGCTACACCCACCCACCGATGCCCGACTGAAGCACCTAAGCGGTTCCAAACACGCGCTTAACTCTTCTAACACTTTAAACCCACCCAAACGTTACTCACCAATGCCCGACTTTCCGGAAGGCGTCTTGCTTGGGGACGCCGTCGCCGCCTCCGCCTTCGCCGCCTCTTCCGCCTTCTTCCGCTCCTCCTCCTCCGCGGCCTTTTTCTCCGCCTCCAGCTCTTCCTCCGTCTTGGGCTTCGGGATCAGCCCCAGCAAATCCTTGGCGTTCTCGCTAAAAGCAAGCACGTTAAACGTCGCTTCCTCCACCACCACGAGGCATCCGAACGCCTGGATCAACCCTCCGCGCTGCATGCGCTGCAGGTACGACGCGACCGGCGCGCCGCCGGGTTTCCCGCCGCCTTGCGCGCCGCTTTGCCCGCCGTCCGTCTGCGTGATGCCCTTGCTGGCCTCCACCGAGTCGTGATAGTCGAACCCTTCCGACGCGTCTTCGTACGCGCTGTCGAGCCGCGCGTCCGCGACGGCCTGCGCGACGCGGATGGCGCGCTTCGCTAGAGCTTTGGTGCCCGTGACGCTCGACGAGCTCATCGACGCCGGCGGCCCGGACGGCGCGGCGGAAGGTGCGGCGGAGGTTACGGTGGACATGGTGCGGGTGCTGTTGGTGGGGGAGCTAGTATCAGCAGTCGACATTGTCGCGGAACTCATAGCAGGGTCTGCCATATTGAAACTCTTTCCGCCCTCCACTGAGTCGTTTATAGCGAGTACACTGCTTCGGTAGCTGACGATAACGATCTGACAGGAAGTACCTTAAAGGTAACTACTTGATGGGAACTAGCTGCGAGACTCTTGGATGGTGCAGTCGCTACTCTCTGTTGAGACGGCAGTCGCCTGTAGGCTTCTACTGGTGGAAAAAGGGTGATGGTGGTGTGGTTACAGAGGCGAGGTGAGGTGCTTGAGGGGTGCTCGGGGGATATAAATATCACTGCATAGGTTTCCTGCACACTGGCAAGGCGATCACAGAAGATAAGGAAACGAGAGGGAATATACGCGGTCGGAATAGTGTACGACAAGGTAACACGAAAACGGAAGCACGTGTCAAATGACGTAGGAAGAGAATAAAAAGGCATGAGCCGCACGTAATGCGGGAATATAAAAAACACGCCATTCGGTCAGACAACGAGAAAGGACATGTCAGCAACTGCAGCAAGATTAAGTTGGAGAGATATGACTACGAATGAATGAGAGAAGCACAGCTGAAAAGAAAGGGAACAAATGTGAGCGCAAGACGACAACCTATGCAAGTTTGTACGAGGGAAAATAAACAGAAGAAAAAGGGAGAAAAACAGAAGTGTCATGTCGCTCAACTTGGTAGGTGTGTAGCTTCTTCAAGCGGCGACGCATTGGCTAATGTCGACAATGGCTGCTTTACGTTTCATTTATGGTTTTCACGAAATGCATTTGGAAGAGCAGTGGATAAAAAGAGGAAAAATCAGACATACCTCGTTACGGTACACGACTTCACAGAAATGGCGTACTAAACTATCTGCTGCGCCTTGCACACGCTGGTTTTTCGCACTCTCGGTAATAAGCTTCGCTCAACTGACAACCTGTTGGCTTAACCACTTCCAATAATCTTCCTTAGTTTCAACCAGATGATCAGTTTCAACTAGCTTAGCTTCAACCAAAATCAGTGGCAGTGCAGCAGCAATAGCAGAGGAGCAGCAAAATGGCTATCTCAGGAGGAGTAGAGTCACAGACCGTGCTTTGTTGGAGGCTGAAAAGGGCGCGAAATGTGTTGCTGTTGGCCGGGGTTGCCATGCCAATTTGGTGGGTGGATGGATAACATCGGGATTGTCGCGCGAGCGACGCTCAGGGAGCCACGGGGGCTGCTGCAAGCAAACCGAACCAAACTCAACGACTCCCAAGAGGAACTACTGTAGTTGTTTCTGCCTTGGACTCTCTGGGGAGGAGATTTTGCTGATGGCAGACCAAGGTTCCAAAAAAACCATTTTTTAGAACCCTGACCCAGGCCCAATACCCAACCCTGGGAACAACACACATGCACATGAAAATCCATGCAGACAGTCCCTAAGCATCCAAAGCAACCTTTTCCGCTAATGGTTGAGGGGGAGGAGGGAGTAACCCCTAATATTCACACCCCGAAGTGGCTGTCCCGGGACATCAACGGTCGAGTGCCAGGTTCTCTGAGCGGGCAAGCTGCTGACTGCCAGAAGCCAATTTACCACCACGGGAGCTGTCTCTGCAAATGGAGGTGAAGTTGGATTTACTGCTGACAGGTAATAGTGCCACGTCGTTTTCCTGGTCCAATGGATCACCTTGTTTCGTTTGAGGGAAGATCTGTGTACTCCACATAAGCACACAAGAGGGTTGTGGAGAGGATAAACCAGTGGGGCTTGGGGAAGGGAAGGGAGACGCCAGCGGAGTGTTGTGGTATGGCATGAAACCGGGCAATTCGAAAAACGGTGAAGCTCATTGGCACGCACGACAGAAGCATGCCTGTCTGCTGAGTCAGACGCATGACTGAATCATTTTGCGAGCTGTGTGACACATGCGTGGTGCATAACAGAATATCAACGGCCAACCAGATTTCTACTCAAAAGTGCACTTTCCACCGCACGAATACGTCGACAGCATGTGAACAGCCTGTGGCGTGATAATAGCGGAGTGGTAAAGCCACACGCAGCAACATCCACGTTGTACCATCGCCTATGTGCATATGGTTTTAATGTGAAGAACATCCTTAACTCATACTCTTGAACACATATCTCATATATTGATTGTTAATCATATAATAATGCAAAGTAAATCAAAATAGTCACCCTGCTGCCATGAAGCGAGACATGAAAGTATATATGTTGTTCACATCTGGCAGTAACGTAGCTACTACTGTCTGGTTTAGTGGCCTGGGCAGCCATCGGAGAGTAGCAGCTGCCGTATGCATCGTAGAGCTGAAACCAAGCATGGTACAGTGTGAACTTAGGGAACAGGCACCTTTACATGGCGTACTGATGAACATGTTGGCAGCCAGCAGAACATTTCTTCCTTCTAGACCCAAGCAACAACACATATGATGCTATCAGTACGTACCCACTAGCTAATGTGCTGTAAATATTTGCCTGCTCTGCATCCATCACAGCCGTAAGTAACAAACCGCTGTATGAGAAGCTCAATGCCTTCTCCAAAGGCGTTTCCCTCACTGCGCCGACCCCATTATTTCCTCCAGGGCCTCCATTGAAACCTTGTGATGCGATCCCTCAGGCAGGCTGCTCCACACATGCCGAATCACGGCTCCTTTGTGGCCAGTTTTGAGTCGACTCACTGAGGCGCACGCCCTTAATACAGAGACCCCATTGTCTCATCCCGGGCCTCCATTGAAACCCAGTGATGCGATCCCTCAGGCAGTCTGCTTCACACATGCCGAATCATCTCGCTGTTGAAATCTGTGAGTCCCTTATGGTGAATCCAACACACCACTCCTCAATGCACACCCCTTACTGCAGCGCCCCCATAATTTCATCCAAAGCCTCCATCGACACTTTGTGATGTGTGCCCTCAGGCAGGCCACTCCACACGTGCCGAATCATGGCTCCCGTGGGCCCTGTCAGCTCCGCATACGGGACCACGATCACCTTCCCCTTCCACTGCTCCTGCCGAACAACGGCGTTCAGATTCGCTTGCTCCCACACGTGCTTGTATCGATGAATTTCGTCTGCTTCAGCTATAATGTACCATTGTTTCAAGAACTGCAAGGCAGCGGGAAGGGAGAGGGGACAAATTGTACTTTTGAGGCACCTCAAAACTCCGCATATGGGACCACTACCACCTTCCCCTTCCACTGCTCCTGCCGAACCACCGTGTTCAGGTTCGCTTGCTCCCACACGTGCTTGTACCGATGAATTTCGTCGGCCTCATTTATGATGTACCATTGTCTCAGGAACTGCGAGGGAGTGGGAAGGGGGAGCGGGAAGGGGGAGGGGGCAACAGTGAACTCAGTATTCCACTTGTCTGCTCCCACACGTGCTTGTACCGATGAATTTCGTCCGCTCCATTTATAATGTACCATTGTCCCAGGAACTGCGAGGGAGTGAGAAGGGGGGAGTAGGAGTGGGAAGGGAGAAGCACAACTTTTGACTTTGAGGCGCCTAAAAACTTGGCATGTGGGACCATTACCATCCTCCCCTTCCACTACTCCTGGACCATTATCATTTGTAGATTTGCCTTGTCCCAGACGTGAGTGTATCGATGGAATTCCTCTGCTTCAGGAACTGCGAGGGAGTGGGAAAGGGGTGAAGACAACAGTCACGTGCCTTAACTTCGACAGCAGGAGAACGCAAACAATCGGCTGCAAGAATGTTGGTCAAACACGCGCCAACGCGATATATTAAGCTGGTCCGATTGAAAGACATCCCCCCCCTCACCCCAACCCCGCACATCTCACCTCAAAGGTATCAAGGGAGGGATTGTTTACAGAGCAGCGCCCCCATGTTGAGATAATCGTGGTTCTCCATAAACCCATTTTTGAGGCGCTTAAAAAATCGCCCATGTTGAGCTAATCGTGCTTCTCCCTAAACCCATTCCATGGGCCCCATCAAACCCCCCTCGCTAGTCCCCATCCCGTGGTGGCTGGCTGGTTCACCTCACAAGAAGGGACAAGCTCACCTCCCTACTCTCCGATGGCTGCCCAGACCTCCTCTGTGTCAAGGGGCCGTCTACAGAGCAGCACCCCCGCATTCAGATAGTCCCGGTTCTCCCTACACAGCAGATCAACGCCCCCACCCCCCACCTTGTGAGTTCTGAGTCAACCCAAAGCTCACCTCCCAGGAGTCAATGGACCGTCTACACAGCAGCAACCCCGCATTCCGATAGTCATGGTTCTCCGTAAACAGCACATCAGCACCGCCATCGTACTGCAGAGTGTTTTTGAGAATTCTCAAAAACACCGCCATCATACCCCCCATGCGAGTTTTGAGTCGACTCAAACAAACCTCAAAGCTCAAACCTCAAACCTCAAACCTCAAACCTCACCTGCAATGTACCCAAAGACCGTCTACAGAGCATCACCCCCGTAACGCATTCAGAGCATGTCGCCGACATGCTCTTTGCAGTCTCGGCTCTCCGTAAAGAGCATGTCAGCTTTTGAGGCGCCTCAAAAGTCGTCTCCTGTTTTGAGGCGCCTCAAAAGGGCTCTCCGTAAAGAGCATGTCAGCTTTTGAGGCGCCTCAAAAGTCGTCTCCTGTTTTGAGGCGCCTCAAAAGGGCTCTCCGTAAAGAGCATTTCAGCTTTTGAGGCGCCTCAAAAGTCGTCTCCTGTTTTGAGGCGCCTCAAAAGGGCTCTCCGTAAAGAGCATGTCAGCTTTTGAGGCGCCCCAAAAGTCGTCTCCTGTTTTGAGGCGCCTCAAAAGTCGTCTCCTGTTTTGAGGCGCCTCAAAAGGGCTCTCCGTAAAGAGCATGTCAGCTTTTGAGGCGCCTCAAAAGTCGTCTCCTGTTTTGAGGCGCCTCAAAAGGGCTCTCCGTAAAGAGCATGTCAGCTTTTGAGGCGCCTCAAAAGTCGTCTCCTGTTTTGAGGCGCCTCAAAAGGGCTCTCCGTAAAGAGCATGTCAGCTTTTGAGGCGCCTCAAAAGTCGTCTCCTGTTTTGAGGCGCCTCAAAAGGGCTCTCCGTAAAGAGCATGTCAGCTTTTGAGGCGCCTCAAAAGTCGTCTCCTGTTTTGAGGCGCCTCAAAAGGGCTCTCCGTAAAGAGCATGTCAGCTTTTGAGGCGCCTCAAAAGTCGTCTCCTGTTTTGAGGCGCCTCAAAAGGGCTCTCTGTAAAGAGCATGTCAGCTTTTGAGGCGCCTCAAAAGTCGTCTCCTGTTTTGAGGCGCCTCAAAAGGGCTCTCCGTAAAGAGCATGTCAGATTTTGAGGCGCCTCAAAAGTCGTCTCCTGTTTTGAGGCGCCTCAAAATTCGTCTCCTGTTTTGAGGCGCCTCAAAAGGGCTCTCCGTA